TATATATATATCAAACTGAGCAACTCATGCTTAGTGGATTATCCCTTTTAAAGGGTTTTTTTTTAACGAATTCAGCATTTCAGTTTTGCAGTTCCTTACTATTGAGCTCCAACAGCTTGTTGAACTTGACAAAGCTTCTGCTTCTGAAATTAATTGTGTGTCATGCCCAAAGTTACCTATCCATAAGACTTATGGCTGTATCCTCCCTTTCCACTCTCAATCTGTTGCCTCCTGTTAAAGTGAACCTGTGCCTAAATTATGCACTCTACCGTATTTATTAATTCTGAACAAGCAGTAAAAGCAGTTTAAAACAAGTCCATATTCAACTATGTAGCTACAGGCACTGTGGGGAAATACATCTTTAACCAGTTGACATCCGCGGTGTTAAACCCCCTTCCCATCCAGGCCATTTTTCAGTGTTCAACACAACAGAGGCACTAAAATCTCAGTTGACTTTCTATAAAGAACAGGATCTCACCCTCTAATGAAAACACACAGTAGGCATTCCAACTGTTAGAAGCTGACTGAAACATACTGCAGCTTACCCATCCTTAGATGTAGTGGCTGCATTAGTTTTCTTAAAACTTTTTGTTTTCCTTTATTTATTTTCACCTGGTGATTCTTCTGGTAACACACTTCCTGTCCTAGGGTGACAACACTCATTCGTTATGCTCTACCAGGACAACATAACCCTGTCCCTTTCATATTCTTCACATGTGATGAGAGAGAGCATGGAACCGGCTTCCCAGCCAATCAGGAAGCCGGGCAGCGTGTAATGACTCGCTGCCTGGCTTCCTGATTGTTCAGGAAGTTGGCTTCATGTTCCCGTCATGACAAGGGAGCATGGAGCCGGCTTCTCGGCCAATCAGGATGGCCTGATTGGCTAGCAAGCTGGCTCCATGCTTTCTCGTCATCTAGTGACGAGAAGCATGGGGACGACTTCCCTGCTAATCAGGAAGCCGGGTGGCGAGTCTTTACACGCCGCCCGGCTTCCCGGCTAATCAGGAAGCCATTTGGAGAGTCATTACACGCCACCTGGCTTCCAGAATGGGACTTTTGGTACTCGATATTCGGTATCGGCGAGTACCGACAAAAATATCGGTACTCGTACTCTATACTGAAATACCGTTATCGGTGCATCCCTAGTTTACAAACACTTCAAGGATATGTATATACTTTAATGTCCATAATTTCGGCACTGGTGCACTTTACCATGAACACTAAAAGCCATTTTTTTTAAATGTGTTTAATAGAGTAGGGAAGGGATAGGGGTAGGCAACCTCGGCGCTCCAGCAGTGGTGAAACTAAAAAATCCCATCATGCCTCTGTCTCTGGGAGTCATGCCTGTGGATGTCAGTCTTGCAATGGCTTATGGCAGGGCTACAAATTTCACGTCCTGAACTACTAGCCAGGCCTTAAGAGTTACTCGCCACCAGTTGCCCCACCTAATCCCTACCCTTCCCCAGACCTAACTCCGCTCCTAAACACACCAGCGCTGTAATGCACGTTACAGAGGTCAGTGCTGTAACGCAAATTACAGAGCTCAGTACTGTAACACACATTACAGAGATCAGTAGTGCACATTACAGAGGTAAGTGCTGTAACGCACGTTACATAGCGGTCAGCAGTATAAGGAAGAAAGAAAAGGGACTTACAGTTCACTTAGGTGGTATTCAGGTGCCCTCTTCTTTCTCCTGGTGGTGGTCGTGTGGAAGGGGGGGTGGTACAGAGATCCTCCATCTACCGACACAAAACTTTCTCTTCACGTCCTGCGCTGCATTAGTTTCTGTCTGTCCAATAGTAACTCTGCAGGCTTCCTCCCAGCCTATGGCAGCTGAGCTGGGCGGAGGAAGCCTGCAGGTGCCTGAAAGAGCCGAAGACAGCCGAAACTGATTCTCCTCCTCATCGGACGCTGCAGCTACAGAGCGGCCCAGGAGGAGAGAACACAAAGCAAGCGATTGCCGCTCGGAAGCAGCGGGAGTGTTCGATCGCAGGTCCTGCCGGTGGCGCACTCCCTCGATGGCATTCCACTCGACCCCACGCAATTTTCACTCGCAAATTGCGTGGGGGTGAGTGGAAATTTTGAGGCCTGCCTTATGGGACTTGTAGTTCTACAAAAGCTGGAGTGCCAAAGTTGCTTACACTGGGTTAGAACCAATATCTGCTTCTTACTGCCGTACGTGACTCCAGTTTGGAGATTTAATCTCACTATGTGTCTCAGTGACACCCCTATGACATGAAATAAGGGGAATGGAAGTCATGGGGACAGGAATACACACGCAGCAATAAAATCTTAACCTTGCTGTGATGCAACAAAGAATTTAAAAAGATAACGAAAGGTAAACTATTGTATCTCATAAAAGAACGTCAGTTGTTATGACAAACAGTGCTTAGGCAAATGAAATGAAATATCATTCTGGGTTTCCATGTACTTTAACTGTGTACGGCACAAAGATTCCCAGTGCAGCCATTTCATTCCAGTATTTACATTCTGCTTTTTTATGGAAATCATTCAAATGATCTCTCACTTTTCCACATAGCGTAGGGTTTAAAATCTTGCTGATTTCATGTTTTCAGACTAATCCCTACACTATGCATACAATTTTTTTTTTGTGGTTTTAAATTTTGATTTTCAACACTTTTTAGTGCAAGTTCTGTGGAAAGTCGCACTTAAAGTGTTTTCCTTAAGATGCAGTTGAGAGATAAATCTCAATTGAAACTGAATGTTTTAACCATTAAAACAAATATTAAATAATTCATAACTATACATGATATAAATTTAGAAAAAGGAGATTTAGGACCAGATCACACCATAGCGTCGCACTAAAGGTACCGATGCATTTAGCACATGCTATCGTACAGCACAATGCATCACATGCTAGATGCCCTGGTGCATTCATTCTAAATAGCCCCCCTAATGCATCTCCCAGTGGGCATGTATTTGGTTGCTGTGTGCTGAAAAAAATTGTTTATGAATTATTTTCTTCAACTAATGCTGTTGCGGTACCATTGGGAGGTGCATTGGAGTGAAATTCAGCATGAATGGCAATACAAAGCCTCAGCGCACCTACCGTGTGGTGCATTGCACTGTGCGATAGCGGGGGCTTAACACACGGGTACCATGCCTTCAGCACAACGTTATGGTGTGAACCGGCCCTGACATTGCGGCCTGACTTACTGAAGAAAGCAAACAGGAAGGGACCAGTTGACTAAAACTTGTCACTAAAGCAAAATGCTTGCAGTAGTTTCAATAAAGTTGATGTAAACCCTAAATGAATGGCATGTCATTTGCTCCCGCAATGTATATAATAAACTATATTCTTTATCCTTTGTTACATCTCAGTGTTGCAGATATCCTGCAGCCCCTTTTGCAGCCTCTTCCGTGATGGCTACATAGCATTTCTCAGGGAGGGTTTCATGATGGTGACAGGGATCCCAACCTGAAAAACGTAATTTCAGGGAGGTGCCCTTCTCATTTCAGGGAGGTGCCGTTCATTATTTCAGGGGAAATGGAGAGCACCCCCCTGAAATAATGTCAGATAGCAAAGAAGTTATTGCTTCCCGTGCTATCTGCTTGAGTTTTTTTTAGTATTCTGACAGCTGCTGCTAATAAAAAAATAAAAAAAAACAGCATAGGAATGAATACCTAGATTGCTATTGGCCATCTCAATTTGCAATAGCCAATAGCAAGCTGGCTATTGCACCCGCCTTCTGCTGCTGTCAATCAGCAGAGGAGGACCTGATGGAGAACTTCAGGTCCACCTCTGCTGATTGACAGCAGCAGTGGGAGGAAAAATCTTATTGGCAGGAGACTCCTGGAACGTCCGGGAGAGTTGGGATGTCTGTGGTGATAACAGTGGACCATGCCCGCATAATGTGTGTTGAGACGTCCACTTTCAGCTGCCATTGGAAGCCCATGTGACCAGGTAACAACTGAAGAACACAGTTTGTAAATCCCAAAGAGCCGCACTCTGATGCCTTAACTCCAATAAAAGCAACTGTACCCCAATAAAAAGCATTTATTTAAAAAAAAACAACGGTATTAATTCTAACAAGATACTGCCCAATCCCACTCAAGGTCTGTTAAAATGTTTATCTTATTATAGGAGACCTGTTTGAAAACTATTGTAAGGATGACAACCTGGTCACCGCTGGAAGACTCTGCTATGCAATAACAATAATACTGACGTACCCTATGGAGTGTTTTGTGGCCAGAGAGGTGAGTCTTTAGATCTATGTACATGGCTGTATGTACAAACATATAGAACACATATACACAACAACCGACTTCCGTCATTGGGCTCCATTCACACCTGTGCCATTTGATGTGTATTCCCTAACCTGCGTTAATACATGATATGAGGATTGCCATTCTTCTTTGTGTGGCATGTTTGCACCTGTGCACTGCGAAACAAGAGGAGTTCATGCACATGGACGTAAACAAATGTTGTGTTTTTTTACATCATTTACATCACCATACATCATATACATACATATGTAGTGTTTATGGATCTGAACGCATCAGTATTGCATCTTTTGAGTCCATGAACACAGTGGAGTTTTGCTCATCAATCCTGAGATGCATTTGGCTATGTAAAATCAACATAGAAAATTCTGTGTCTGCAGTCAGTCTTTCTGCATACTTTCTGCATGTAAATACATGTAAGCAGTTGTATACACTTACATGCTGGAACTGGAAACTAAACTAGAGGAACGGAAGATGAATTTTATGGACGTTTGCTAAATATGTGTAAATGAAAGCACTTTATAGGCCATTACATGTGTTTTATTAAGGCAAGATCTTTCTATCAGCAAGATCCTGCATAGATTTCAGAATTGTATTATGTCCGTGTGCATTAGCTCTAGTACACTTAAGGTTTTTGGTGCATGAATACACACAAAAAAAAAATCACAATGATAAAAGTGTGACATGCTTTTTAGCGCATGACAACATGCTGCAACCCCCTAGAATCCTCTACTTTATTTAAATTTCATTGGCCAAGCAAAAAATAATGCAGAGTGCATGCAAATACACTAAAATGTGTTTCAACGTGTGTTAAAACACACAAAAAAAGCAGAAAAATGCAGACGCAAAGGTGTGAGCCTAGCGTTAAACCCAAACAGGCCATATGGTATGTGTGTGTGTGCGTGTTACCTGTATGCAGCCACACTACTTCCCTTATTACACAGCAGATGGTGCTGCTGTTCCAGTTCTTCTATTGCTAGTGGAATTACATCATACATACAATAGGTATTTGTGTTCTCTGCAGGTGATTTCAAATGTCTTCTTTGGCGGAAATCTCTCCACTGTCCTTCATTTCACAGTGACCCTGTTAGTTGTGTCACTAACCACTGTTATATCTTTACTCTCTGACTGTCTCGGAATGGTGTTGGAGCTTAATGTAAGTAGCTGATTACTTTGTATTTATAAAAGTGTTTTATTAGCATAGCCACTATTGTATTTAAAGTGATCCTAAACTCAGGAGTTAAATCTTAAAAATGCATTCAAGGACCCTAACTATAAACAATGCCATATCTTATTTGTGTATCACTCAGCTGTAGATCCTCAAATTATCTCTGAATTTGTGATGTCCTTCCTTCTGGAGGATGGCTACTTTGTTCCCCATGGTCCCTGTGTGTGTTGTAAAGTAGCCACCGCTCCAAGCTCACTCCCGTAATGTACTACAATCTCACACTTAGTTTACTCATTTGTATTGGGATTGTAGTCCATCACAGGAGCAAGCTTGGAGCAGTGGCTACTTTACAAGTGATATTAAAGATATACAAAGTGATATTAAAGTCAGAAGGTTTTTAAGCAGCATCAGCTGGTCCCTTGAGCACTGGCCCTGATATCTTGTTTTAGGGTGGCTCCTATGGAGCCACCCTTGTGTGTGGCTGTGTGTTGCTCCACAAACACACACAAAGCAAAGCAAGCCACTTTCGTCCTCCCAGCTACCCACTCCTCCGTCCTCCATTCTTCCTTCTCCAAGCTAGTAGATGGACAGCTGCTGTCCCATGTAATCTTGTACTGGACAGGAAGTTCAGGGAAGCTGAGCTGAGAAAGTTTAAGCCAACTAATGATGACTGCAAATGTCTGGGCAAAAAGTAAAGAGATGGTTAGCTGGACAATGCATATTTGTTTGGTCTGCATTCATTATTAGAAACAAATTGAGAGGTTAATACTACTTTAAATAAAGGAATTTTCCCACCACTTTTAGGTAAAATAACTTGGTGGGTAATTCAACTCTCCAGCATTTATTTGAAAAAAAAAAAGTGCACTATCACATTTGGTTGCTCTGACCTTTACTTATTTATTTCAGGGAGTTCTCAGTGCGACACCTCTTGTCTTCATCATCCCGACGGCCTGCTATTTAAAATTGTCTGCGGATCACTGGTACCACCCCAGTAATTTTGTGCCTTGTGTAATCCTACTACTCGGGATAATAATAATGCCTGTAGGCTTCATCATGGCCATCTTTTATCCACAGGAATGCAGTCATGGTAATGAGATGTTTTACTGTCTCACAAATTCTACACCTCTCGATACCTCCTCATCCTTCCCATACCCAATAAATGCATCTAAAATAAAGTTATGATCATCTGGTAACTAGGTGTGTATTTCATCACCATATAACTTAGAACTGAATCCAATCATCAACATGACATTCAAAAGCCCTGAGACTACTGCCGGACACCACCATTTTGTAATGTCATCCTAGCAGCCACTGTATAGTGTTCCCCTTCACTCCTCCCCTGGCACAGCCGAAAATTGAACACTCCCAGAAGAAGACAGAGCTATGCATTGCAAGGAGGGAGGGGGCTGTGCTAGGGATTTGAAGTGGTCAAATGTTTTTGTAAGTACAAAGGCATATTGCAAGTGAATTAAAAAGTTATGGAAAGGAAAAACGCTGCAAGTAAGTGTTTTAAATACTTGATTTTTGTGTGTGTTTTTTTAAGTTGGCGACAGTGTCTCTTTAGGTCTTTGTAATATCCCCTTCGCACACAGTACTGATGTACCCCAGAATCCAACGGGTGCTGGAACAACTGGTGGATGGCGCCACAATGTACAATCTAGAAGATATGTTGTCCACACACAATTCTGCTTCGGAATGTCCTTTTTATTTGTATTCCTTTAGCATGACATGTGAATGCAACGTTTCGGAGCCTCGCAGGACCCCTTCGTCAGGCAAAGTGTCGCCTGAGGATGGCGCCCTGTGAGGCTCCAAAACGTTGCATTCACATGTCATGCTAAAGGAATACAATAAATGGGACATTCCGAAGCAGAATGGTGTGCGGACAACATATCTTCTAGGGTCTCTTTAGGTTCCCTCGTAAAGGGATCATTGAGTTTTGAAGGTTGGTGATGAACATTTGGTGAAAAATAATACAAATCTGGGTATTTTCAGTTGTCACCCCACTTCTCATTTTCATTGACCTCCTACCTTTTTACTGTAATTGGAATACCTCTTCAATAGAATATTCAGTAATGGTCACTTACAGGAACCTGATGGATATTTATTATGGCAGATATACTGGTATCACCTGACACAGCGCCACTGAAGGGAAAACATTAGTTCAAAACAATAGAGGCGGTTTAGATGTTTGATGCAAGGAAATTCCAGGCAGCAATGACCAATATATATAGGAAGTGCAACAGGAAGAGGAAAGGAACACCACTCTCTGAATAGATCTGTAATAATAAGCAAGGACTGGCTAGGAATCAGATTAATCCATTCTTTAGTTGTAAAAACATAATTTAATACCTGGCAGGATTCCTTTTATTTCCATGAATTCGCACCCTTTGTTGTAATTTGTGTGAGTCATCGACCAAAGCTCCATGTTTACTTCTTTTTTTAATATTGTGTTGGAAATATATATTTAAGCAAAATTAGATATACCTGGCCTGGAATTTTATATTGTTTTTGCTTTCCTGTCAGAACCGTAATTATCTGTTATGGAGGTCCATGCCAAAATCATTAACGGACCACCCCACACACACACACACACACACCCCCACCTCTTGTATGCAAACCATAACAATGAACTTCTGTCATTTGCTCCCTTTTGGTCTGTTAACTATTCCATTAAAAGAGTTTTGATATATTTGTTCGATAAGTGTAAAAAATACCCAATGATCGTGCAGGAATTATATTGCTTCCCATTGGATCCATGCTGTACTTTCTGCCATATTGAGAGACCCACCTGCCCCTTGCTGCCATTAATGCTTCTTTCGTTTCTCTGTATGCATGTGTGCGCTTACGCTTAGCAACTACCGAGTTCACAGGTATGTGCGCATTCACAAAGCACATGCCTGTCACTGCCAAAATGCAGCCTGCTAATGAGTTGAAAGGACTATCGCTTGCTGGGTGCCCATAATAAGGTGCACTTATTATCTTGTTAGACCACTTTTGCTGACCTAGCCATAAGAAGAGCATATATTTTGTGGACATCTGCAGCTGAGACAAATCCAGGTCAAACCTTTATCTAACTGACTGTGTTGATAGTTTAATAACTCATTTCATGTGCTGCCTGGTAAAGTTCTTCAAAAGGGACTTTGTCAAGGAAAAAATACTACTGTAGATATAAAAAGCACGGACCTAGAGTGGCCTCTACATACCAGCAACAGCCTCCAAAAGCCTGTAATTAAAGGGTTAGTTCACCTTTAATGACATTTTATAAAAGATCCCTATGCATTGCAGCTTTGTACATTAAAATGCTGTCCTCCATTATTACAAATGATTCTCACTTTGAAGCTGCTGCTATTGTGTGCTCTCCTTCTCCGCCCTTGTTAGATGGCAGGACGGCTCATGAACAAGCAGCATTGGCTAAGAGTGGACTGTGCAAGCGTAGTTAGGCAAGCTGAGTTGTCAAAGCCAAGTGCTCATTCGTAAGGTGCTGGGGCCGCAACTCCAATGGTCGATGGCAGGACAGAGGGGGGGAGCCTACAGGAAAGGCAGCTTCAAAATTAAGAATCGTAAAAATGGAGGACACCATTTTAATGCCAATTAAAGCTGCAATGCATATGGTTTTTGTTAGAAAATATAATTTAAAGATGAAATAAAACTTTAAGGTCAAATCCCAGGTCATCCTAACAGGCAAAACTCTGGCACTCCTTAATGATGCAAAATGATTGCTTGGACTGTCTTGCCTCCTGTTCATTTCTTCGAGTCACTGAAGCAACCCACCATGGTGTAAGGGTATGTGTGTAGGGGGAAAGGGTGAGGGGAAGGTGAGGTACCAATAAAGATCCTATGCTATCTGAAGCATCTGAACTTTGTCTTTCAGTAGAACCCAGTATTCAGTCGTAACTGCTAGTTTATGGAGGCTACCTGGTTCACACTTGCGCGTCCTGGGAATTTTCAGTAGGGTCATATTTGCGTGCCAAACACAGCAAAATGGCTCCTGCACTATTTTGTGTGACGCGTGGAAAACCGCATGACTTGCTGGCCGCGTTTGGGGTGCCATTAGAAATAAATGGCACGGCAAGTGAGTTTTGCATTTGTGCGCGTTTCCACAAACACGGAACGAAAGCGTGTGAATTGCCGCACGTTCTTGGGACGCGCAGGTGTGAACCAGGCCTTAGTATTTTAGAGCAAAACATGTTTAGGGTTTCTGGAAGTCCTTGGTTGTGGAATGCCTTGGAATGGAATGTGTCCTTATGCAGGTCAGGTACCTGTGGCAGCTGGAATGTAATAACCGGCAGGGAAATGATTATCTCCTAAAAGTTGTATTAACCACTTGGCAGTGGTACAGAACAGCAGAAACTATAGTGGAATCAATGAGCCAGGTTATTATTATATCTATTATGAAAATTGCTGGTATTTGTCCTGTGCTGTAATATTTGTGGCTCTGGCAGTAAAACCTAAACTTATATCCAGTTAAAGTCTAAATACATAACTACTGTCCACAACGCAGGCTCCACAAGGTTGGTGCAAAGTCACTTTGGTAAGTCTGAGAAGTCCCTGCCATCATGGATAAATTACTATTTCCTAACATAGTCATGAATGATGAAACATATCACACAGAATATAATGTCAATTTACTTAGGAACTGTTGCAGTTATCCACTACTGTGTTGTATGTCCTCAATTCTCTGGATATGGGAGTGTAGCAGGGTAGGACTGGGATGTGGGGTTTTCCACCCCCAGGTCAGTACTAATAAGATGTGTGGGGCTGGTGTCCCTGAGTGGAGATAGTTTACCTTTCAGAAGTTGATCAGCATGAGACCCACAGTCAGTGATGCATGCTGGTCATTATATACTGTAGCTGCCGCCTGCCTGCCCTCTGTTCAGGTCTGTGATCACAGCGCCTGGTGCATTCAAGTCTTCCAGCACCAACTTCCTGGGCGGCTCTGAGATTCATGTGACCAAATGCTGAGAGCTGCAAAGAAAGCTGAAGACGGAAGATAGAAAAAGTTTTGTCATAATATACTGTATCCTTTAGGGACACATACCTCTCTGCGTCTCCACTTGTCACCCAAAGTGGTTTAGTCCAAAGAAATCTGTCCCTACCATGAAAAAACTATTTGGTTGTTTGG